AAAGCAAGAGAGAATAAGATGGATTGATTGAAGTAGTTAATCTGAAGATGTAAGAAAGCCACTCAAATTGGAGCAATAAGTTGTTCTATAGAATAGTTAAAATGAGATAACCACCTCAATAAATATATATGGAACCCATCAACACAATATGTTCATCACAAAAGAGTTGTGTTTAATCATATTTTTGGATAACTTAATAAGAGCATGATTACCAACATTATAATCCCCAACCAAAAGTTAGATCAGCCGAAAAACTATGAATAATTTTCATGCTGGTACGACTATAAAAAAGCCATGTTCTGATGCTGAGGGCAAGTTTTGATGCTATAACCACAAAGGGAGTCATAAGGGACCATAATCCTTTTGAGATTCTGTCGATGACCTAAAAATGTGATATGAACTGCTCTACGAAGTCCAGTTTATTTATCTGCTCAAGATTATTATATAAATAATTGGATGAAAAATATGCTTTTATTACTTTGCTTAGCAAAGTGATTTCTTATACTGCATTTAACTGTTTTTAAATATTCTAAAAAATATTTAATAGAGTTTGAAAATTTAAATCAGTTTGTATGACCTACTGGGCAATTATAACTCATTGTGGTTTTGATTCTGATTTTCAAGATTTGATAAAGAGAATGAGCTTTTTGATTAGCATTTTAGGATCTGATCAGAGTTGATAAGTAATTCTTTTATTAATTTGTATACAATCATGGCTAATTTATTATTTAATTATGTACCTTCTATTTGTAGCCATGTACAGTAGAGTAGATACATTTTGATGAAATAAAATCTTATGGATGAGTTTATTTTCAGTAATTGAATGTTTTAGTAGCTATGTAATCTGTTGTTTATTTAAAATGAATGTCGAAAGAGAATTTGAAACATTCCAAAATTAGATCTAAGGACTAGCAGAGAAACCAAAATAATTTGTGCTCATTATTCTAACCCACACAACATTCTCGAATCTAAAATTTTGGAGTTTGAAGTATTGGTTGGAGCACATGCGAGTGTTTTAAATTGAAAATGGGATTTTAGTTTAACTCGCTTCAAATTCCAAGTAATATTCTCAAACTTTGTGTTTGAGCATTTATCATATTTGTCGAAGAACATGTATGGACTTCAATTTATTTTTAAATGACATTCATGCTTTTTGATGCACTTAGATGATGCACTTATAGGCTTTCGGTATATTTGCTTAATATGCTTGCATGCTTTCAATATATTTGTGTTTTTTATGCGTTCACATGAGACACTTGCACGCTTTTTAATGTATTTGACTAGCATATTAAGATGCTTTTTAATGTATATTACACGCTTTTTAATGTATTTGACTAGCGTATTAAGATGCTTTTTACTTTAGTCATGGATGTTCTCACTAGACATTTGCAAGAGGATGTACCTTGGTGTATGCTTTTTGCGGATGATATTCTTCTTGTTGATAAGACTAGAGAGGGAGTTGAAGGTAAACTTGAATTATGGAGGTCAACCTTAGAGTCTAAAGGTTTTCGCTTGAGTAGATCTAAAACGGAATATATGGAGTGTAATTTTAGTAGTAATAGACCTAGTGAGGGGATTGTGACTTTGGGCGATCAAGTCATTAATAAGAGTAAACGTTTTAGATATCTTGGATCTATTGTTCAGAGTGATGGTGAAATAGATGGGGATATTATCAGCAGAATTCAAGTTGGATGGTTGAAGTGGAAGAATGCATCGGGCTTGTTATGTGATAGAAATGTACCCCTCAAACTTAAGGGAAAATTCTATAAGATGGTAGTGAGGCCTGCAATGCTTTATGGTGCCGAATGTTGGCCTTTAAAAGAGAAGCATAATACTAAGTTAAGTGTGGCAGAGATGAGGATGCTCAGGTGGATGAGTGGCTTTACCCTTAGAGATAGGATACGAAATGAGCATATACGTGAAAAGGTTGGAGTAGCTCCAGTAGAAGATAAGATTAGAGAAAGTCGCCTTAGATGGTTTGGTCACATAAAACGGCGGCCTTGCGATGACCCGGTTAGGAGAGTAGAGGTATTAGATTTGACTTATGTTAAGAAAGGTAGGGGTAGACCTAAAAAGACTTGGTTAGAAAATATTAGGAATGACCTTTCTTTATTAGATTTAAACGAGAATTTGACTTTTAATAGGACACAATGGAGAAAAAGGATTCATGTAGCCGACCCCACGTAGTGGGATAAAGGCTTGATGTTGTTGTTGTTGTTGTTGTACACACTATTTTTTAAAAAATTTTAAAATAATAGTGCACTTTTTGTGACTACTACACATTTTTTGAAGTTAACGGTGAGTTTTTTGGTGTTTCGCATTTGGCTGGCATAGTTTGCTGAGGTTTCAACTTCACTATGAGATGTCATGCTCCTCCTCGTAATACTTCTTAAATTGATTTGAACAAAACTCAAAGCTACTGTTAGTTCTTAGCTTCTTGACTCCTAGAGTTACAACAAAAGTCTTCCATTCTTTGAATATTTAAAAGGCTTCATTTTTCTTTTCAAGAAATATGTCCAAGATTTTCTTGAATAATCATCAACAACAGATGTAAAAAATTTTTAAGTATATGTTCATACGAAACACATAAAAGTCACCAAGAAGGCAGACTTTGATTGAATTCTTCTTAATTAGTCATAGTTCGTTGATCTACCTTCTTCCTTTGGCTCAGTTCTTGCAGAATCTTCATTGTAGTTACCATTCTTTAGCCAATGCTTCTCGTTGCTAGGTCCTGTCACTTGCCAAAATCTGAACTCCGTTGATTCATATAATGCTTCAGCCAGTTTTCTTTCCAATTATTGTTCTTCACGGCAAGAGGGATGGAACACTACCACTCCACGGTTCTTCAAAGCCACAGGGTAGTAACTTGCCATCAATGGACACCATCGGCACACCTACCAGTAGCCTCTTAGGGGTGGGAATTCTTTTTAGTTACGATTCTTATCCTAAACCTCTTATCTAGTACATGGGAAAACAAGAAAAGGGAGAATAGGCTAGGAAAGAAATTCACTAGGAGAGAATAAATTAGAATGTCTTTACAACAAGAGGTGATGGTGTATTTACAGCCACACCTCAAGATAATTGTGTAAATGAAAAGTTACACAAATAACCCCAACTATATAAATTTAAAAATAGCCTTTATAAAAAAAGGAAAGAAATTAAGGACTAGTACAGGATAATTCATGCCCGATGCACAGTTCCAGGGAAAGTGTAAAATGACATCATTGATGAAGGAACCATGAGAACGTCATTTCAACTTAAGATGAAGGAAAAGTTGATTCCTACAACACAAGATCATTTAAGACCTTAAAAGCTTCTTGGATGCAAAAGGACAATGAAATCAAAATAGTTAAATGATGTTTGGTATGATTTTCCCTATGATGCATCGACACTTCTCCTCAAAGAGGCGTGCAGTGTCCAGCACGTATCTGACATGACACTCGTCCGACACTCCTCCGACACGTGTCAGACACGCCGAAAACGTGTCAGATTAAAAAAAATATTAAATACAAATTGGACACGCGTATCTTAAATATTTTATAATTTTTTTTTAAATATAATTTTTTGAATTTGAAGGGATTTCAACTAAATTTCTTATTTCCTATCCACAACACCAAATCAACCTCCACACTTAATACCCATTCATCGAATATTCTCATTTTCATTTATCTTTGGTAGTGAAGGTATTTTCATCTCCTCTCTCGGTGATTGATAACCGACATCGATGCCCGACTCTCGACATCCTAATACTAATAATTTTAAACACAAATTCTAGTTAAAAGACTTATTATTTCTAAATTATTTTTAAAATTATACTTATTTAATTTTTATACACTATTTTTTAAATATAAAACTATAGCACCATGTCCAACCCGTGTTCTATATTTTCAATAATTAATGTGTCCCGTATCTGTGTAGTGTCGTATCCGTGTCCGTGTCTGTGCATCATAGGATTTTCCAGTAGCAAGAAACTTCAAGACAGTATTTATTTGATAATATTTTGAAGGATGCTTATCATTTAATTTAAGGAGATCATGGAAATATGACAGTCACACTATCAATGATAGATACATGAACAAATGTACATTGGAGTGAATTGGAGCGCGGGTGGTACTTCTGACACTCAATTATGAAGCTTAAAAAGAGCTACAAAGTGCATGGCGGTGTCCAAATCCATATGTATGAGCTTCTTATGCTTTGGTGGTTTAAGAAGAAAATCAAGAAGAACAAATGCCAAAGGAAGCCCAACTCTTGTTGCAAAAATACCAAAAGGCGTTTCCTACTAAGGGTAGGCATACTAAGTGTGCCAAATCTTTTTATCCTTCAACTACAAAAAATAAATCAGGTGTCTCAAATAGAATCATTGATGCTCTTAGCCGAAGTCATTCTCTTCTCGGTACTCTCCCGTCATAGGTAGCTGGGTTTGCGATTATAAAAAAACTTAATCCCAATAATATAGAGATTTTCTTATTTTTTTGAAACGTGGCAACAATGCCAAGAGTTACATGGTACATTTCAGTATTTTCAGCTCCAAGACCAAGTCTTTTTGCAAAACATAAACCCAAGGACATGGATCCTTTTCAGGTCATTAAGCACATTGGAGAAAATCCTTATTAGATTGACTTATTGGGAGGTACAAGCATATAGGCATCCTTCAACGCTGTAGATACTTAAGGTATCTGAGGACTAAGAGAATAAAATTATGGATAATTATGGCGAATCCGAACGATATAACATCAAATATAGCAACTCCACTGAATTTAACTAAATATAGCTTAGCTGGTCAATCAATATGAATATGAATATGATATAAAAAGGAAAAACAGACAAGTACATAGGAGACCTTTATGTTAGTCTGCCACAAGAAATCGGAGAGAAAGAGTAGGAAGACATATCAGCAGTTCCAAGGAATATCAGATACATAAATCTATATACCGTACAACTGAACAATGATTAAAGAAAATTTAACAAGAAGAAATCTATGGATTCTTAAAACTTACGGTTCTAGGATTTGGATCAAGGATTCTGCATATCAATGACTTGGCACCAGCAGAAAACCATGAAGGACAAGAAAATTCAGCTGCATTAATCTGCAAAATACAGTTACAATAACTACAATAACCAGAAAGTTTTCGGAACATGAAACAACAAATTATTATAAATATCGGATAAGTGTCAACGTTTTCCAACATTTTTTTTTCTTTCTCCCCATCTGAATTTGAAAAGAAGACTATATGATGGTGGTGAATGGACTTTTGGTGGGATTGGTGGCTGAGAATGACACAAGAGATTTAGGGTTCCCTTGGGACGTCTTTTTTACTGTTTCTTAAATCAGTTTTCTAGTACAAAAATTAAACGAAGCCTGAATTCATCGATAAAATGATTAATTTCCTACATACTTGCGAATAAGATCAAACCTCACATAGTATGAAAAAACTAAAAATAAAATAGATGAAAATCTGAATTCCACAAATAAAAAGATACAGAAAGAAAAAGCTATAGCCAGTGAAAGAACAAACAATGCATATGAATTAAGCAATAGATGTTGATGTTGAAACCAAAGGAAGATAGGTCAAGGAGAGCAGACTTTCTTTTATAAAAGACAAGCCCAAAATAGCACCTCAATAATTAGCAAGCGAATAATTTAATCCCCGAGTTTCACGCTACCCCAATTGAATCCCTCGGCTATTTAAAATTGATAAAACTTGATCCCAAGGCCGAAAAAGAAAGGTTAAAGTTAACACTATACTTAAATGTGAAGATATTTTAAATAGTTAAACTACATTTGAGTTTACATTATTTATGTTAGTCAATTGTCATTTAATAAATTATAATAAATACACTAATTAAAATAAAGTTAACCTACTAAATAATAAGAGTGAATAATTAGTAAATAGAAGATCAAACAAAGCTCTAAGACCCGTGTTACAAAAAATATTATGATTGCCACAAAACTCCAAAACCCTTGTTAGAAAAGAAAACATCCACAAATGATGCCCTCCAAAACGTCTAAACAAAAGCTCACTACACGACCTTCTTTTGGATGAATAAACTTGCTAAGAAACATAATGTCACATTAGCAAGGAAAATTGAAATGCATAGCTGTTTATAAAATTTTATTTGCTAACTAATTAATAATCCCTTGTTGGTCATTCCTTGCATGCACACATTCAATATTGGTGTTGTCTAAGAGCTACAATATCAATCAAGTTATTTCGACTGAATTGAAAAAACAGAATAAAATAAAATAAAAGTTTGTGCATTTGACTTTTCATTTTAAATCAACCATGAATGCGCAGCCTCTTCACTTGCTAATATCTATTTAAATTTAGTTCTTGAAGATGCAAATCATCTTGTGACACAACATTATATTATAGGCCTTCTTTAATTTGAAATGTTTGCAAAAATAATTTATGTGAGCAACAAAATGATGTCCTCCAAAAACATTCATATTGATGGTCGAGGGTATTTCTTCTTGTTGATCGCCTTTAGTAATCTCAACTATATTGCACTATAATAAAGGCTAGATATCTAAAATTGTTTGAAATTCACATAGCTATCAATGACCAAAAAAGGGTCATAAAACACCAGTGGATTTCACAATACCATCATAAATTTTCATGCTTCCTCTGTTAGCCATGGTTGGAGATTACATGATATTACTGTTTAAAATGTAGAGTTCCTCCACGCAGTGGCGTACGATAGCACATTTCAAATCTTGTTTGCACCCCTTATATTGTATTCATGAGGGACGGAGTTTCTTTGCTCACATGCCCAAAATCACAATCACAATTATTAATTGATTCACTAAGAAGACATTGTTAGTTGCAAGGACAATCGCAAACCCTAGTCTCTCATACACACCTCATAAGAGATTGGTATACACTGCTCAACAATTTTCGTCGAACACTACTTCAATGCATTAGTGCATCGCCGCTCATAATAAAAAAAACACTGAAAACCTTTGTTGAATGTAAAAGTCAATCTCACATGCAAAATCCTTCGCCACTCACAAATAAAATTCGATTATAGAATGCCAAAAGTCAAAATAGCTCACAATAAGAAGATTGAAATCATTTGCCACTCAGCATAAATCTTGATCTCACACACATGTTCAAGAGTGGGAGGAAAGTAGCTTTCTAAGATAAATAAATAAATAAAATATTTTACTAGAATACACCAATCAAATAATGAACTGTAGAAGACATGTCAATTTTTTTGTTAAACTTGATAGAATTCGGATAGGGGGGCCAAATTGAATCAATTTTCAATAGTCGACGGACTAAATTGAGGTAGTAAAAAAACTCTTAGACTAAATTAGGCACTCACTAATAGTAGACATACTATTTTAAACCTTTTCACATTTTTATATAAAGCTGAAGTATTACAATGCACATCAGCTCTTATTAGAGGTAATACAAGACTTTTGAACTATCACATTTGGAGGGAAATAAAGGAGAGAAAAGTAAGGGAAAGGATGATGATTAGCCATAGATGAAAATATTTCTAGCAAAAATACAATAAATGTATTTTTCTATTTTTAACACCATTCCTTCCTTAAAAGGTCAACCAAACATGTCACAAGGTGAAATAAAAAATGTAAAACAAATAAAAATTGAAATTACATTTTAAATAATTCATAAATGGGCTTTTCCTTGGATTCTTGTTTGGACTTTTGTCATTGGGCCACTTTGTTATTCACTTATTTGAGCATTAATATTTAATTTTGTATGTGAACCTTTAACTTAATTTTCTTGATCTGCATGAAGTGCTACATCAACCCCTATGAGCTCAGTTGAACAATACTTAGTAAAGTTAAAATCCAATGTCCTTAACTAATTAAGGCATCGGCATCTCCAAATAAGTGTGAGTCAGCCTTGTGTCTTCAATAGGTGATTGTAATGCCAATGGGTAATTTCTTAGTGACAATACAATCAACTTCCACGAAAGAGGATAGTGAAGAATTCTGCAAGTTGGGAGCTATATCTCTTGCCAAATAATCAATCTGAAAAAGTGGTGATTTGATAAGTCATTTATATGATAGGATAGCCTCAATATTAATAATGGGATGAATCAACATATTAGTAGGCAAATCAAGATTATAAACATAAGCCCTTGTATGTAAATTTTATCAACTTTGAGGTTTGCTAATGTTCAAAACGAATGCGAATCAAAACATAATCACCTTTAAATTATTTTCTTGAATGGTCGTTACTATTTCACCAAGAAATACATTTATCTTTACTTGAAATAATTTATTTTCTTATATCAGCATGAAGGCTTTGAAAGTCCTTGGAAAATGAGAATACATGGGATGGAAGATTAGGTACATCAATTGATCATATTGGGTTTTGGCCAAACATTGCTTCAAAAGACAAGAACTTTATGGTCCTAAAGATAGAACTATTGTAGGCAAATTTTGAGATAGTGAAATGCAAATCTCAATTTGCAAAAGTCTTCCCACAATACACCTAAGTAGATTTTCCAAAGTCCAATTAATTACTTCAATTTGATTGAGCATTTGGGTATGAAAAGCATAGGAAAATTTTAATTTAATATCTAGCAATTGTTATAAAATATTTTAAAAGTATGAAATAAATCTAAAGTCTCACTTCGAAACAATGGTTGAGCGAAGGCTATGTGAACATCTGATTTCCTTAAAAAATGAACTATTCATATGAGAAGTATTATTGGTTTTGAAGCAGAAAAAATGAGCTATTTTGAAAACCTATAAATAACTAAATAATTACTATTATGTTCTCGAGCTGTTGGGCCTCAACCTCTCCACATATATTAGGAGAGAGTTTTAATGATTAAGTTTCGGGAAAAAATTTTGGAAGGTAAGTTAAATAGAGATAAGACATTACCTAGAGATTTTATCCTCTTGGCAAGGACTTTAATAACTCAGTTCTAATTTCCTATAGGCGCAAGATATTATAGTTAATTACCACTCCCAATAATGAGAACGAACTTTTGATTAAGGCTAGTCATTGAACAAATATGTGGTATCTAGGGTTTAAAACTTAAAAAATTATCACCGCGCATTTAAAGCAGATTGTGAGAGGTATGATGATGAACCTGATAAAGTTCTCATGGTTCCGTCATCCCGGCTCATCATAGTCCCTAGTCTACTTAGTCAGAGGAAGTAGTTAACCCAACCTGACTGAAGGATCATTGACGCCAGCCATGGGTTGCTTCCTACAAGGGTACCTTATAGACTTAGGATGAATGTTTATCTAAGGGGATAGATTTAAGTTAACCTTAGCTAACAAAGGGATTTGTACCTTAGCAATTATGCCATAGTGATTCATTACTTAAGGATTTAGAGTCATTGGAGAACACACAGGCTCTGGTCGTGACAATAATTTAGTGGTACCATTTAATGACAAAACTATTCGGTCAAAGGGCCCTGATCAAAATCGTTTATCAATAGTGTCATTTGCCGACAAAATCATCGGTTAGAAGACAGTGCCACGTTCTAACTAGCAAGAGATAGTTTAAAAATGAATTCTAGTGATATTTTCGACTAAACATTCACTCTTTATGAGCTGAAGTGATTTTCAAATTTATTCACCTCGATAAATTGTTGCTAAGGGTGAATGAATTTTTACTTTAAGTAATTAGATGATTTATTTCACCTTGAATATCTTAAATTTTAGTGATTTTAAAGTAGGCACCTTAATGGATGATTTTTGAGATTTAGGGGCATTTAAAAGATAAAGATCCATCCGGTTGAGATTTTCTATCAAAACGATCATCATTAAGGTGACGTAGTCATTTAAAAATGTTCGTATTTATAAAAGTCTAGAGGTGTTTGAAAGGGTAGTCCCCGAGATTAAATTTCAACACGACCATTATCGGGGAATTTGAATAGCTTGTATATTTTTCATTTGAATCGTGTCAACTATCTTCGTCCGCTAACAGAAGATCAGGTTCGATTACTAAAATTATAAGTTATCGTACGAATGCGAAGAACCGAGAACTTTATATTTTATGATGCATTTCATCTAAAGAGCTTTTAAAGGCCTGATGTTAACTTTAAAACTAAGTATCCCATTGAATTTGAGCTTAGCCATTCACTCATTAATTC